AATAAAGAACACAGGTAATAACAAGTGTTGGAGAAAAAAAAAAAAAAAAAAAAAAAAAAAAAAAAAAAAAAAAAAAAAAAAAAAAAAAAAAAAAAAAAAAAAAGAAAAAAGAAAAAAAAAGAAAAGAAAACTTCAATTTTCTGGGTATGCACAAAGACCATGAAGACTTATCCAAGTGCATGACCGGATTTTTGTGGTTTTGTTCATTTTGTGTTTAATTTGTGTTTTTTTTTTTTTCCCAGCTGTATGAAATGGGCTTTCTGAAGTTTAAATAGTCCGACTTCACCCATGGTGTTCTGTGCTTGCAGTGCGAGTGTTGCTGTAATTCAGTGTTGCCGTCAGTGTCTCTTTTCTTAGCTTTCTGTCTTTCTTTCAACGTAGTGTGAAGTGTCTTATCCTTTTCTATGAATTCCAATTTGCCTTAACTCTTTTGATGCTGTAGCTGTTTCAGTAAAAGTTAGTTCAAACTAATGATGTAGAATGCTTTGACCAAATGAGCTGGTCTATTATGCCTTGTAAAACAGCAGCATAGGGCTTTTAAAAGGTAGTCAATAAAAGTTGCTGAAATTTTGGCTTTTTTAAATATGTAGTAGGTGTTTTTAATGATTTTTCACATAATGTGTAAGGTAGTGATATGCAAGAAGGGAAAAATGTTTTGTGTGAAACACATTTTCTGACTGGGGAACTTTTATTAGGGTAAATTGTTTGTAAGGCTGTACGCCAACAGTTTCCTCTGATAGTTTGACTGATTTAGGATATCTGCTGTATGATGCAATGTAAAGTCTTTTTTGCCTTTTTTCAGGAAAAAAAAAAAAAACTAACTTGATGTTCTAGATTTAGTGTAGGTAGCGTTGGGGTTTGGGGATGGGGGGCGGGGGACGGGAGTCACTGAATGTTTTGTCCTTCCTTTATACTAATGATAGTGCTTTAGAATGAGAATTATGCCTGAAATCTGGCAAACCGAAAAATGTTGCTATTGCAACAAAGTGGCAAAAGCTAAAAGTAAGGATTTTATCTTCAAACATAAGCTGAGATATGAATAGAAGCAAAATGATTGGCTACTAGCTCTCTCTCTCTCTCTCTATTAGGTAAATTTGAAAAATAAAAATGACTTGGCACTTTTAAAGGTAACTTCACCAAAGACCGAAGAGCCAGTAACCAGTAGCTCCAACTTGTCTCAGCATCACATCTTCTGTGCTCTTTATTTTTGCCGGACCAGTTTGCGGTTAGGAGAATGTGCCTTTTTTGTACCTTTGCATTTAGGTTTTATAATTTTAATTGATGTATGGACACACACAAACAAACAAGCATGAAGGAAGATTTGGATCCAAGCAGTGCCACACTTTACATCATCACTACAAGTGTTCAAGTGTAAAGAAAACCAATTTTGAAACTATGAAATTCCTGATTCATAAATACACAGTTATTTCTACTTTAGTACATATAAGATAATTCACTGTTATTAAAGCTCTTTTATTAAGGCAATTGCATATGTTTTAAAAGCAATGGTAAATTAAGTTGTCTTCCAAAACTGTGTACTTGTCTGGTCAGCTGTGTATGATCAGTTATCTACCTCAGAGTCTATTTTCTTTTGTGCTGGGACAGGTTGCTGGCCCTCCCTGTTTCCACAGACCAAATCCTCCTAGCTCAGGAGCTAGGGCTAAGCAGTTATTTCTTTTGAGTATTTTTTAGTTCTTAAATTTTATGCTTGTATTTGATGATAGATGTCAGTGACATTTCATAGTTTCAAAAGTCCTTGCTGCTCTGAGAAGTGTAGATTCTAGTGAAAATTACATAGTCATAAGAGAAATGTGTTTTTGTTTTGTTTTTGTTTCATTTTTTTTAAAGTTGTGGTATTATTGGTTCTATGCTCCCTGGAATATTACTGCTTTGTGAAAGTCCAGACTGAACGCAGCACCCTCTGTGTACCTAGTACAGTTATAAACCTGGGTCTCTCACTACTTGATATTTTTGCATTAGTTAAGACAGAAATTTGATAGCTCGGTTAGAGGGGAGGGGAAATCTGCTGCTAGGAATGTCTGAACTAAGTGCCATACTCGTCTGGGTAAGATTTGGGAAACATAACCTCTGTACATAAAAAAAAAAAAAATCAGTTAAACATCACATAGTAGACAGCCATTAAATTATAAAAAAAATTAATTTATGAAGAAAGACCTTTTGTACAGATTGAAAAAAAAGATTTTCATAGAGATATCTATATGATCAAGAGAGTTAATTTTTTATTTTTGTTTTACTAGTGCCACAGACTTGCCAGTGGTAACTTATTTGTCCGGTTCAAGATAACTCTGTAGTTTTCTTTCCTAGGACTTGTTGTTAAACGCCAAAAGACATTTTTGAACTGTACATTTGATCAGATTGTTAGCTTTTCTGTTTTATTTCTTTTGAGAACCTTTGAATAAAAAACATCTGAAATTTTATTTTTCCTGTCAATTTTTTTTAAGTAGATTAAGTATATATGAGAATTTCATTTCATTTCTGATCTCTTTCTTCAGCTCAGTAGATTGGTTTGAAAGTGAGTTGAAAGTTATGTCAGATACGTTATATCCTCAAAATACTCTTCCTTGAAAGGAATTGGAAAAACCTTTCCACCCCCTCTTGCTGGTTATTTAAATCTGTGTAAGGACCAGAGACTTCAACCACTGGCTCAGCACATGTCATCTCAGCAAATGTGCAGCCCAAAATACACCAGTAGTGGTCTATTCTTAAAGACCAAAGAACCAGACCCTTTTTCTTCCTCCTTTCGTGCTGCTACCCCTCAACTATTTCATTGCTTGTCAATGCTTAGCAAGGACAGAGTAACAGCAGCTCTCCCACCTGTGGTAGGGAAGCACATGGGCAAGGACCTTAGGATGATCTTATGCATGCATTTATGACCATGGTCCTCTATCAGAACCACCTGTTCAGCTGCTCCCAGTTGAAGGCTCCCATGCAGCATTCACGGAGGAGTCAGAACTCTTTCCCTCATGTGACTGCTTTATGGGACTGCATATGCAAAATAGGCCCCTTCTGCCCAAAGTGGAGTAAATGTTTTAGTATGGTGATCCAGGATTTATTTCCTGGCTTCCAGTGACTGTGTCATGGTGATAAAAAGAATGGGCAAGGAAAAGATACAGTCCACTCCATTTCTGGGTGCGTCCCCTGCAATGTGGATGGTATGCGGGGTGAATTAGATAAGGGAGGGGTCAGAACACTTAACTGGCCAGAGCCAAGAAAGCGCCGGTACTTGATGGCTGTTTCAGAGAAGGAAACATTCCTCTGATGCTAACTGGTCCTTCAGAAGGCAAGATGTCAGGGAGGAAAGAAACATGGCCTCTTGAGACAAACCCAGGCTGCTAAGAATGTAAGCTGTGGTCTCATTTTGCGTTCCAGCCACACACCTAAGTGCTCTTTCCTATGACCAAAGGTAGGAGAGAAATGCAATTCAGGCTGCTGGACACCTTCGGTTTTGTTAACCTTATTTTTGTTCTAGCTTCTCGCCCCGGCTCCATCTGGCTGCATTATATACTGAAACCGGTAAACACACTTAGGAGCACCAGTCCACGGAAAAGGGATCAAGCCAGTGGTGGTGGTTCACAGTTGCCGCTCCCATATAACTAAAGGGGTTGTGGCACCATTGGGGTAAACCCCACCTTGGTGAAAGCTTAAGACTGAAGTGGAATTCTGGGGTTGGAAGAGAGGAAAGAGGGTGTGGCAGTCGCTCTGTGGTCTACGTATTTCCCCCCACTATAGTGGCTGGGATGAGGAAAGCCAGGGGGTCGGGGGGGAGCTCCGTTTTTCACCCCACTGCCACACCCTTCATGGCCAGTGGCTGTAGGTTTATCCATTAGAGCTGAAATCCCACAAACACTGATTTAAAATTCGCTAGGAGAAAGGCAGTGTCTCCCAGCCTGAGCAGGGGGTCAGTGAATGTTAAGATAGGACTGATTCTATCCTCATTCCATTAGGGTACCCAAAAAGGAAACGATCCAGCGCCATTGGGACAAGGGTCACCGACCTCTCACAACCGCCCTGCCCCTTCCACAAAAAGCCTGAGATGTCAAGTATGTGGGTGAGGGAGGAGAGCCCAGAACTCAGGGTTTAAGGAAGGCCAGGCCGTCTCTCCTCTTCAAATAGCAACGCGATGAGCTCAGCCCCCTCAGTCCCGGCCTAGAGCCGGATGGCGGTCACGTGGCCGCGGGGCATCCAGGGCGCGGGGTCCTCGGCACAGCTGAGGGGTGCGCGCCGGGCGAAGGAATTTCAGCCCCGCGAAATGGCTCCAGAGTGTCTCCCGTGACTCGCTCAGGGGCTGCGGAGGGCAAGAGAATGTGTGCGCCTGAGCCGCTAGAGGGAGGGCGTTTTGTTCCTCAGCCATCAGGCCCCGAGCTCTGCAGGCTGGAAACCCAGCCCCTCGGCCGCGGGCAGCAGGAGGCCCCCTGCGCGGAGGTTTAGCATCTCGGGGCACACAGACCGGGTCACAGGTTCTTGAATTTGGGGTTCCTCGTCAGACGAGCAGGCCGTCACCAGTGCTGGCAGCCCCCTCCTTGTGAGCATCGTTGCTCAGACTAGGGAATGACTGAAATGTGACTTTGAAGGTTCAGAGAAGCTGGGGGCTAGGGAGAAAACCACGCGCCTTGCCAGACCACGTGACTCGGCGCGAGCACTCTATGCCGGGGCTCTGGGCTGTTCAGAATTTAAAACCCGTGGCTTTGAATTAAATACAAACTCTAACACGGTTCTTTTTTTTTTTTTTTTTCTTTTTTTTTTTTTTTTTTTTTTTTTTTTTTTTTTTTTTTTTTTTTTTTTAATGCGACACTGAGAGACTAAGATTTGATGTAGGTTATTCCAGTGCTCATACAAGACCCAGACTGCAGGGATTTTCTACCCTCTAGTATCCTTGAAGTCACCTACCCTACTTGAACACCTCCAGGGGCCATGCACTGCCCACCTCACAGGGCATCAGGTGTCTTTAGGGAACAGCTCTCAAACTTGTTTGCAACGGAGTCCAATTTGTGGCTTTGAAATTCCCACTTACCGGCCGTAGTGCTGCCAACTCGGATGCCACAGACGCAGTCAGTCATACTTCAAGTGTGGAAACGTGATCCATGGTTCTGCCCTTCTCTGGGTCGAGCATTCCTACCAGCTTTAACTCTTCCGTGTCAGCCCGGATCACTCCACATCATAGCTAACTTTCCAGATGCACCACAGTTGACTCAGGACAAAACCCAAAACCGGAGGGAGAACTTGGGGCTTCACCTGTCTCCCCTGCCCTGCTGGATCTTGCTATTACAGGTGAAATGGTTTCCTTTTGACTTCTCAGACATACCACAATTCTTAGAACTTGTAGCCAGTGAAAATCCCTACGTTGCTTTATTTTTTAAATCACAGTGGTTATGCTAAAGACATGCAAGATAATATGAAGTCATTTTAAAATGAAGACATTTTAATGACATGGAAAATGCTTAGGATATAACGTGAAAAAAAGTGTTGGGAACAGAACCGTAGATACAGTATGATTAAAAGTATGAAACAATATTTAAGTATAAAACATAAGGAAAGGCTGAGCACAGTGGCTTATGCCTGTAATATCAACACTGGGAAGCCAAGGCCAGAGGATTGATTGAGGCCACAAGTTTGAGACCAGCCTGGGCAATATAGCAAGACTCATCTCTACAAGAAAATTTTAAAAATTAGCTGAGTCTGGTGACACACACTTCTAGTCCTAGCCACTTGGGAGGCTCAGACAGGATTGCTTGAGCCCAGGAGTTTTAAGTTGCAGTGGCTGCTATGTTTATGCCACTAACTGTAGCCTAGGTGATAGAGAGATACCCTGTCTCAAAAGTAAATAAATAAATAAATCACAAGGAGAAAGTACTTTAAAATGCTTAGCAGGCTAGGAGGACTATAGAAAGTTTGTATTTTCTCATTTATACTTTCCTGAATAATTTTTTCAGTTTTCAACAATAAAAACATTTTATGATCAAGGAAAAAATTTAACAAAGAATGTTGTCAGATTACTCTGAAATTATGCAAGTTTCTATGCTCATATTCCAAGTAAACACATTTGATCGATTTTTTTGTGTTTAAAAGATAACTGCCCCAAACAGTGGCAGACACAAAGATGATATGATGTCTTCCTAGTCCTCAATGGACAACCTTAAAGAGAGGCACAAGCCTATAAGTGACAATATTGTAAGGCGAAGTAAGAAAAGATCTAAATAAAGAGCTCTGGGAGTTCTGTGAGGGGGCGAAGACAATGAAACCATCTCTCCTGAGATTCTCAGAATTTCTACATTTCCAGCCACTTCCTTTTTTACTGATCGCAATTCACTTGAGAGCAGCCATTTTCCTCACCGGTTCCTCTACCTTCTGAGAGATGAAATTGTCAGGTAGGCAGAGGAAGTCTTTGATAGCTCTGTCCTTGCCAGAATGAGACTTGAGCAGATATCCAAAGAGTTGACATTGCTGTCACTTCTGCTATGAAAATATTGGCATGTGTAACAAGAAACTACTGTCTTGTTTTTTTAAAATCAAGTAGGGTATGGGATACTTTCCTGGTAACGTCGTTCTGACTTCTTTTACCCTTGGTCACATGTTCTCCACACATCAGATTATGGATTTGCAAACACTTGCATAGTTTTCTGATGCCCTCCATATATCTTCAGAAATATTCTATTATTTTCTTCAGGGAAGTCTAGGCAGGAATCCCATTGTACCCACTTTGTAACTGGTGTGCTTTGACACATGTTCAAGACCATAAATATTGTTCCTAGTCTCCTAGCCAGGAACAACAATTTTTCCTAAGAAATACGTGAAGGACCTTCCATTATTATTTTCTCCCTAACATTTAGTTCAATTTTATTGAGAAAATTTTGTAGCCTTCAACTTCATTCTTCCAATGATCTGAGTCTTTTGTTTTACAAACCTGTATTTTCCCAAAATTTGAGGTAACTTTCAAGGAAACACAATTAATTAGAAATGTAGAAACCTGGAGTTGAGAAATTAACAGGGAAGAGACATAAGGAGTACACAGAATGTAGTTCAATAGGCCAAAAGTTCCCCACCATCACTACAGTTAAGCCTCAATAATTATGTTTCCCGGCAGCCAAGGTGAAAAGGGAGAAAAGAACATGCATCTGTAGCTCTGACTGTCATAAAGAATAAAGCCTGCCAGATTCTCTGGGAAAGATAGGATTTACTAGCTTCGTACAGGGGCTGCTGCCAGGGGTCCTGGGCTGTGTCCACCACATTTTACCACCAATACAATGACAATTTCCCAAGCCTGTTTCAGATAGGACCCATTCATAAAAGTCAAGGGCAGCACAGCAAGGCACCATTTCATGATAGTGACTCTGGTAGGCTACAGAGTCAAAACAGGTATTCTAAGTCTCGTCAAATGTTCATGGGTGATACATCTCATCCCTTTTGCAGAGCCCATTGCTATGATTCTGAAGGACAAAACAGCTCTGCAACAGCAAAAATGTTCCAGATCCTTTTTATTTCCACATTTGGCTCTTCACATGGGAAAAGAGATGCAAGCAACAAGTCCTCCTGCCACTTACTGAGCACTTCATGTTATACCTAAGACACCAACCAGTTTCTTCCAGTTCATCCAAAGCAGCAGCTCAGAGGTGAGTTGCTGGGCTGGCTGATTTGGACAGTCGTTCCCTCCTCTGGCCAATGAGTCAGGAGGTAGGCTGATGACCCTTTCCATTACCTAATACTGGAGCCTTCCTAAGTCTCTCACAAATCATAGTCCTTTTCTATTCTGCCATCAAAGGACCCTTGAGAGCTGAGGAGTGAGAATAGAGAGCCTCAGGGATGCAAGGCAGAGATAGCCCAA